TATCAGTTAATAAGGTGGCTAGAAACATCTCCAGCCATTTCAGCAACTACAGGGTCAGTTATTAAAGTATTTTTGGAACAAATAATTCCAAAATAGGGGATTGTGGAAGCAATAGACTCAGATAGGGGAACTCATTCTACAGGGAAAATTCTTAAAAGAGTAAGGACTGCTTTAAGGATACACTGGAACCTCGGTACCCCCTGGCACCCCCAGAGTTCCATCTGGGTTGAAAAGATAAATGGAGAAATAAAGAAACACCTTCTGAAGCTGGTGATAGAAACTAAGATGTCGTGGGTGTGGCTCTTGCCACTAGCTTTGGCAAGGATAAGGGCCAGACCCAGGGGGGATATTCAACTATCTCCCTTTGAATTGATGTTTGGAATTCTGTATCCTTGTAATTCTAAGCCTGGGAGAGGGGGTAGAGATAAGTGATGTATATTTAAAACAATATGTGGCCCAGATACTGTCTCTTGTGAAATCTCTTCGACAGGAAGCTAAGCTGGCACAGACCCTGCCTTTGGACTTTGCTGTTCACAACATCCAACAGGGAATTGGGTCCTAGTTAAAGAGTAGAAAGAAGCACCACTGGTGGCTAAGTGGCATGGAACTTTCCAGGTGTTGCTGACCACAGAAACAGCCGTCAAGAGAGCTGAACATGGGTGGACCCATCACACTCGGGTCAAGGTCTCTGAGGCCCCAGAGGTTTGGACATCTCAGCTGGAGGAGAAGGATGGGAAGCTGTGACTGACACTCTGCAGGAGTGGATTGGAGCAGTAGCTGTGCGTCGACATCGGGGGAAGCCCTGAGTGCCTACCCACAGACTGCCTGCTGAAATAGTCTGTATGGACACCCCTACTCTCAGATCTCCAGACACTGGGGGCCAATCCATGCTGTCATTGCTTTCTTTATGCTAAGCTGTTTCTGTGCCTTCACTCACCACAGAAGGTGCGAAAGACAACGTGAAAGTGAAAATTAGGTTAAGAAATTACTTTATTAAAGTATTAGAATGTTTCTCTTAATAATCTTACCTTTATATTGTCAGTTAGGTTAAAGCTAAAAGTGGAAAAGTAATTTTTTAACCTTAAGAGAAGAAGTAGCAAAAACCTTTAACCTTAGCAATTGTTGGGTCTGTGGAGAGCCAGGGGGATCTGAAAACTGGCCATGGGTGGTCAGCCCAGTTGAGCCTAAATGGTGGGTTAGCACCCTGAGTGAGGTCCATAATGGAACAGGATTTTGGGACAAAGAAGGAAGTCCATGGCAGCTTCATTCTTCTGAAAGAGGTGTATATTGTCTAAATAGAACAAGTAGCATATATGTGGGAAAAAGGGTTTGTGACTGGACTTTATCTGTGGCTTTAGACTGTTGGACACCCAACTGCCCTCCTTATGATTGTTCCAGATAGATATCAAATAGATAGGTAGAATCAACAACATGTTAATGATAATTTGATAGAATCAAATGCATGTTAAGCTCACTAATGGTAGCTAAGTAAAGTGTTCCTTCCGTAATTACCAAAAGGATTTGAAGGCTGTAAAACAGTGGGGGAAAGATAAGTATTTTGGTTTTGTTTTTTTGACCTCTTATTTTTAAGCTGTCCCCAAGACAATTCCACAAGTAAGACACGTTATCTAAGATATAACTGCAAGCGGAAACCTTATGTGGGAGCTTGAAAATGCAAATACTGTGATTCTTATGGCAAAGTATCTATTGCTGGGGGACCGCTAGGCCCCGAAAGCAAGCTGCATTTTGATCCACCAATTGATGATGAGAATTGGAAAGGTCCCTTTGCCAATGAGACCTGTGCTTTAAAGGGGTATTAATGGATTTGTAGCCAATATGCTTAACACAGGTTACCCCCAAACTGGTCAGAGATATGTTATGTGGGGTGTATTAGAATATTGTTCTTTCTGCTACTGCAAGTTCAGGGAAATCAGGAGTCAAAATATATGAGAAAAGCAGTCGATGCATCACTGGCTGGAGGGAGCACCCAAAAGTGGGACAAAGATGAATGACCACCTGAATGAATATCAGGTGCCAGAGAACCCATTTATAATTTAAATCGGATAATTAGGTTGCAAGCTATCTTTGAAATAATAATCAACCAGACAGCTACAGCTCTTGACCTTCTTGCTGACCAGTCGACTCAGATGAGAAATGCAGTATTTCAACACTGGATGGTATTAGACTATCTATTAGCAGAAGAGGGAGTATGTGGCACATTAAAGGACTCAAACTGCTGTTTGCAAATAGAAGACAATAGAAAAGGGGTGAAACAGATAACAAAAAGAATGTTAGCTTATGTACCAGTCCAAACATAGAAAATATAGGAACAGGACATGTTTTCATGGTTACTTGGTAGACTATGGGTTAATCAAATGCTTTTTTACATCTTCTGTGTTGTAGCAACTCTAGTCTTTTTACCATGTGTGATCCCTTGCTTAGTACAACTCATTCAACATGTGATCAAAGGGATGCAGGAAGTAGCCATGCCTACTGATCCAGAGATGGTTACAAAAAGTGATGCCACTGCAAATAATTGCAAGACCAAAAAGGACACAGGAACAAGAAACAAAGTCAATGATAACTAAAGTTTGTAAAGACATTTATTAAAAAAATTAAAAGAGGAGGGATTGAGAGGAATGATGGGTTTGTCTTTACAAACAAGCTGTGGGTCAAGCTGATAAGATGAAACTATCACTGAGAGATAACAGGAACAATGGGATGGATTCCACTGAAAGACAAAAGAGATGCTGAGGAAACACCATAAAATTCCACAAGAGTTAAGAATTAAGAAGGGCATTATGCATTGGGGGTGGAGGTGGGTGGTCTCAGATATCAGGCATCCTGGGAAGCCTGTACCTCTCAAGTACCTCAGCCTATGGAGAAAGGGAGAAGGGACATACGACAGGGAATTAGGATAAAAAGGAGGCTGCGCCCTCCAAAAATTTGAGAGACGCCAGGGGAATGCCCCATGGCCTCTCCCTTTATTCAAATAAAGTAAAAGGACTCCTCTGTCTCCTTTTTGGACATAAACCTCTGGTGTCTGTGGATTAATTTTCCCGACAGTGGCAAAAATGCTGAGCAGAACACTTGGCTGGGAGACTGCAGAGGCACCTGTTTGTCAGAGAGAAGACAGGGGACTTGAACAGGGCATATGAATAGCTGCAGGGGATAAAATACTGGGCCCTGTAAGACTTTTTAGTCTGTCAGAGTCACAGTAAGATTGCAAAGTCAGGAAACAGGCCAGACAAATACAACTGAAGTGCCATTTAATTGTGTAGGCAATTATCTACTGATTGAACCAGTGAAGAGTACTGGGTGCAACAGCTCTCAGCTTTGTATAAATACAATCTTCTCTTTTGTAAGAGGCCCTAAAAATGTCTTTGTCCAAGTCTCACTGATAAGAATTCCCCTTAAGTTTCTTTGCAAGCCCTACCCAGAATACTTTACATATTTGTTAGCTGATACTACTGCAATTTGCTAAATACAAGGGGCTTCCTGGGTCACTGAATCCAGTTTAAAACTGCAGGTACCAAGCTGATTCTTGTTACCTTTCCAGTAGTATTTCCTAATAAAAAATACTTTATTATGTATTTTTTGAGAAAGAAAAAAAAAAAAAGCCCTACTGGGAACTGCAGTGAAATACACAGTGTTAAAACTAGAGTTTCTAAAAGCAAAAGCAAAGCAATGTTTTGTTAAGGCTTCTACGGCAAAAGCCTCTAAAGCTATCACATCTTGGGTTTTTAAGTATAAGAGCCAAAGCACAGCTTGGGATCTAAATGCAGTCCAAATGGCTGAACTAGCTGTCTGTTTTCCAAGGTACTCTCTACAGTCTCAGGCTTGCAAGAGTAAATCTTCCTCAGTCATAACTGTTCAGTGTGGATTTGATCAGCTTCATGAGGACTACTCATGGGTATAAAGATTACTCATGTGAGAGGTACATGACTGAATCTTTAGCTAAAGATACTAAAGCCTAAGGAAATCAATGATTCGCATCTGTAATAGACCACTGCTTCTATGTAAATATCTTGATTTTTGTGTTTGGCTTGCTGCTCATTAGCTAAACCAACAAGAATTACTAATAACCCCTCAAGGTCAACTTGTACATAGGTCTGCACCATTCTATACATACACTTCTGGTGTTTCTAAAGCTTATGTAAATGCATACAGAAATTGGGGAACAACTCAGGCTACATCACCCTGCTGTCTTGACTGCTGCCATCAAGCATGTCCTTCCTATCAAACACAACCGCTGTGGACATTATGGGCAAAGGATCTTGGTATAATATTCCCAAGACACTCTACACTGGTACCTTGACTCAGGCAATACCCTAAGGGTGTGGGAAGGAAGAAAACCCAACTCAGTAGCTTCCACACTTTCTGAACTTTACCTTTCAGTGGAGCAGCAGATGGAAGGGAGGAAACAGGGAACATAGCATTGTGTGAAAGCAGATTTACTAGGCCAAGGGAAGGGAGACAGTTACTACATCCTTCCTTTCCTCCCTTGCCCAGTTAGCATCAGGCTGTGCAACCAGCATGCAACTACAGCATATGAGTTTGGCGCTGTGCCTTTCCTTGGCTTATTCCCTTCAGGACTGTGTCACCCCTACACATTCCTCGGTGGTGCCAACTACTGCAAACTGTGAACAACAGCAGATAAAAGCTCAGCACTATTGGGGAAAAAGAAAATCTGTCCTACATTCTGGACATCCAAATATGGATAGAGATGTTTAGACATTTGGTTCAGAAACTCATGGTTCCAACTGCTTCTTCAATATAAAAACATTGAGGTTTTGTTGTGTTTTTTTAAAATTATTTTAAAAATAACGGCTATTAAAATCTTCCCCCTTTTTTTAAATCTCTGCTAGAAATACTACTTACCTTTTAAACAATACTATTTATCACCCATCTTGCAAAATCACTCAAGTATCTAGAAAATTAAAAAAGATAACCATGTTGGCAATAACACATCTGAACTTGCTACAGTGGAGAAAGCCTACCTGTGCTGTAGAACATTGTATACCATCTGCCACATCTGCAACATATGCCTGCATGTCACCAGAGCCTCTTCAGGTCCTTTGTGTATCCATTCCAGTTTTACTTTCGTGAAGAGTAAACTGCAAGATGAAAAAGAATAACTCCTATTTTATTGGCATCTCCTAAAAGTAGAGAATCAGTATCCCTCTGTTGAGATCCTGGCAGGCAGCATTTTTACCCGCTTTGTACATGCAGTAATAAAACACCATAGTACAAAACATTTCATTTAGCTCAACTTTGATTGCCTACAGAGAAGAGAATCAACAGTATACCTCAGCTGTATACCCCAAATTTGCTTCACAAAGCTGGCAGGACAGTGCTAAAAGCAAAGCACTGCAAAGCTAACAAGGTGACACATATATTGAATCTCATTTTATTTTGGACAGTATTAAAAACAGGAGAAAAAAGAATTTCCCTAATACATATGCCCAGGCTGTTTTCTTAGTCTGGCATCTTCTTATAGCACTGGCTTATATAATAAATTTCAGCACACTTAACATAAACAGATAATTATGTAATGCCTCACAGGAAAGAAATGCTTTTTCTTAACCCCAGCTGGCAACCAACTCATACCTCTAGGCAGAACAGCCGATAGCCTTGTACATTCTTCTTCTAGGTAGTGTAACTGTTGCTACTATTCTTATACCTAGAGAAGACAGTATTTGCACAGACCACTGGAATTCAGCAGAATTGGGTCACACAGAGGTTAGAAGACAGATTTGGCAATGCCACAACCTACCACTTGCTGCCAGCATGGCTTTTAATGCCATCCTTCACTACACCTATATTATCTTAATTTTGAAGATTATTTTATTTATTTCTTTTATACTAATGCAATCTTTTCTGCTTTAAATGTTTTCATGAAGTCCAATATCAACACAATTAAAATTCACTTGACATGTCTAGCAATTAATCCACTGGAAGCACATATGCATACATACATGCATACAACAGCAGAATGTTAAAAATCCTAAAAACAGTTTTGTGAATGTGACCTGCAGGCTCCTGAGTAATCCAGACTACTTCAGAAAGAGACAAGAGCAACTGCATATATGATGTTAGAGAAGAATTTACAGCTGAGTAAGAAATCCTTCACTTGGAATAATTACAGCTCTATTGCCAAGACTGTGATGCATATCTATAGGAACATGCTAAAACGGCAGTTCCATTTGGCACTAACGAACATTAGGGTAGGAATTTTTGGGTTGGGTTTCTTGTTTGTTTTTCTTTGGGGGGTGAGGATGGTGACCAAAATGTAGCCCAACTGTATCACCTGCTATTATGAAGTCTGCTCATGGCTGCTGCTATGATATGACCTGGTAGAGGCAAGCATTCCACTAAATTCCTCAGGTACAAACTTTGACTAGGAAAGGCAGATCAAGATTCATAATCAACGGAATTAGTCTTTACCCTTTACCATTTTACATCCCTACTCTGTATCTTTGATTTTCTTGTTACTGGTGCGAGCAAAACAAATACTATAAGAACATCATCTGCTCTTAGAGATGCTGACCCCCTGAGAGGAAATGCCTTTATGATTCAAGTATTTGAGGCTAAAACACAGACTGATCAAAATTTCGCTGGAACAAAGATGTTACAGTGGATGGATGCACTGTTAATAAAAATAAGTCTGAATTTAAAGGAGTGGTTGGCAATGAAACTGGCCAGTGATGCCTGCTGCTCTGCGTTCCCAATGAACTGGGCTCATAAAAACAAAGCTTGTTTCAATGCCACAGAATATAGAATCAATCACTTGGGTATAAGAAATACATATCACACTAGAAAGATGGGAAGTTACACCCTGGAGTGCAATGGTATTAAAAAAAGACGTGAAGTTCCTGAACAACAATGCAGTTAAAAGGTCAAACAACCCTTAGCATCTGTATGCAGAAATGTAATCAAGTAGGAGCTGGAAGATGTGGCTATTCTTGATCAGAGCATCAGCAAGGCACTTACTACAATCCTGTTTCTAGATTCCAAAAGATGACTAAAAATGGGATATGGTTCAGAAAATGGTTATCCAAGTGATCTGAGGGCTAGAAAAATGCATTTCATCAGAGGCTTGAGCAGCTCAGTTTATTCACTTTCACCAAGAAGCAGCAAAGAAATTGTTTTGTCCCAGCCTGAAAATACCTACATCAAGTTTCTCATTGCGAGTCTTCGATAAAAAAGAAAAGATACAGAGAATCTAAGAATTTTTTGGAAGCTGGAACTAGTCAAATGGAAATGTATCAGTAAATGCATTCACATAACTATCAAGGAAAATAACCTTTGCAGCAATTACCTTGTGCAAACAGTAAATTCTGTAGTCATTAAAGCCTTTTCAGTAAGGCAGGATAACATATGGAAAGCAATCGTAGCGTACAAATAGAAGCTGTGGGTTTGATGCATGGGCTCATGACTGAGTTTCTTTGGGCTGCACTGTGCAGAGGGGTAAGACTGCATCACCATCCTTCTGGAAGTTACTCTATTAAAAGTATTCTTCTAGTCCCAGAAAAAAGCACATTGAGCAACCTATGCTATTTTAAGCATACAGTGTCACACTATATTAGGAAAGGCGAAGCAGTACAACATGACTCTCTTAGCTATATTGTCCAAGAGAGCAAAGTTTACTATTCTTGATTTTCTTTTATAGATATATTCGAGAAGGTCCAAGAGGTAAAACTCTCATTGGTCATTAAAGTGACACATCACCATCATTGGTTAAGTGGAACACTACCCCTTGACTGTTCCGTGCAAGTAAAGAAGAAGGATCCTAAACAACACCTGCAAAGATTGTTGTCATTTAGCAAGGACTGTTTGGATTCTTTCTTATGATTTCTCAGGCCAGAGTGAGAAGCCTGTGAGACTTAGTTTCACACAGGCTCTGTTCCCTGCTTGCTTTTTGCATTTAGCATCAACAATACAGAATGATTTTTAAATCACTACAAATACTCAAAATTCAAGACCTTCTAAAGCACTGTACAGCCCTCTTTGCAGCAGAAGAACAGCGGTAAAGAAGACCAAGGCCCAGAGACCAGTTGTACATCCCAGACTAACACCACACTTCATAACATGGTAATATACCACTTAGTATTAATTAAATAGAAGGACCTATTAACAGTCAAACTCACGGACAGGAGGGTTATATTAAAGGCTCCTTCTCCTTTTTACATTAGTAGTAGGGACACAGATGGCTTATCAGCAGGCAAATAAAATCACTACATAGTATCTTTATACATTGCAGTTAAACATTAAAAAGACAAATCAAGCATTTCTCACTCTGCTGTTTACTACTTACAGTGAGTATACATCAACTGCTCTGGATGAAGACGCAATGTTCTATCTCAGGAGAGAGAACAACTAATGAAACTGGGGAAAAAACAAGTCTCTCACAAAAACATAATGAAGCCTCAGCACTATACTATCATGAGTGGTAAGGCACAGGCACACTACAGGATCTTGGAGATACCATGCCCTACTAGCTGTTGTGAAAATTCACCTTGGGAATGGTGTTACCCATGTTATTGTGTACTCTTATAATGAACCAAACGAAAAGACAAATGGGAAGAATGTAAGAAGCAAAAGGAATCAAACCATACCAGTGGCAGTAGCAAACAATGCAATTAAACATGGTAACTAAAAGGTGGAAATACAATCAGGGTATCAGGCTGCATGTGTTACATGCTGCTAGTATTTCTCAGTTTCTAATAAGCTTTGTAATAGTGAAACCAGATAAGTAAATACATAGAGAAAACAGTGAAGCAGTATCACTTATCTCAAGCTGATAATTTTATTACTGAGCTAGAACTCTTGCTACACCAATCTAATGAATATTGTGTCCTATTAGTGTCTGCACACAATTTCAGGGGCATAAATAAAAATTAATTATGCACAGATCTCACCTTATTGTATTTCTTAGTATTACTGTACATTTGTATGATGCTTGTAGCATTAAGCAGTGTAGATGCTTAAAAAGATTCAACATATAAAAATAGCCCCAAGATTATCAATATAGTCATTGGTAATTCTATTAGCCTGTGACTGTGAAAATGGACTTGGGCTAAAGCAAGTATATAAATTGCTACTCCATAACCATAGGAAAAACAGAGAAAAAAAATCCTTTTTTTTTTACAAATCATTCTTGTAATGTGCATGATTTCAGGGACAGTACCAATGGAAAATAACCAGTACTTTGTCTTGATTCAAGACTCTAAGCTTCCCCTCAGAAGAGGTTTTCTTTTGTGGTGCATATGGACAGTATGCAAAGGCTTTTTTTCTCTAACGGAACAGAATCATAGAATCACAGAATTCCATAGGTTGGAAGAGACCTTCAAGATCGAGTCCAACCCATGCCCTAACACCTCAAATAAACCATGGCACCAAGTGCCAGATGCAATCTTTTTTTAAACACATCCAGGGATGATGACTCCACCACCTCCCTGGGCAGGCCATTCCAGTATTTTATCACTCTCTCCATGAAGAACTTTTTCCTAATGTCCAACCTAAATTTCCCTTGGTGCAGCTTGAGACTGTGTCCTCTCGTTCTGTCAACTATTGACTGGTGAAAGAGACCAACCCCCACCTGACTGCAACCTCCTTTCAGGAAGTTGTAGAGAGTGATAAGGTCACCTCTGAGTCTCCTTTTCTCCAGGCTAAACAACCTCAGCTCCCTCAGTTGTTCTTCATAGGGCTTGTGTTCCAAGCCCCTCACCAGCCTTGTTGGCCTCCTCTGGGTTATCAACAGATTACTGTCACAAGCAAACACACCCATCTCTCAATCTATCACAGTAACTCTGGCAAATTAAAATCCAAATACAGTCGATTCTGGTGAGACCTTAAGTTCAGAAAATTCAAAATTAATTCAAAATGAGGTTTCGCAAGTATCGAAACTTCAAAAGTATAATTTACCATGTCACTGTAATATGTAACACCTTAACATAAAAGGCAGAGATTGGAGTCTTGAAAGATCTACAAAAATTTTCAGAAGCAAGCAAGCTACTTCAGTTGATTTCAGAAGGCATTCAACATTTGTCTTCATAAAGACTGATTTCAGTTGCTTATACTCATAATGTCTCAAGGCTGGGCCACATACACCTAT